TGGTTTGGGGGTTGGTGGGTGGGGCACTGGTTCTGTTTGTGGGTTGGGGCCTTTGTGGTGGGGGAGGGGGTGGCAGGGGCTGTGTATGTGAGTTATGGGCAGAGGGTGGCATTTGTTTATGTTTTCTGTGTCCATGGGTGTTTTTATGTGTAAGTCCATGTGTGTGTGTGTGTTGTGTATGTGAGTTAGGGGCTTTTTTTGTGTGTGTGTATGTGTGAGTCAGGGCCTTGTGCTTTACTCTGGCTCAAACCTTTGTGAGCGAGTTGGACTGGAGCTTTACTGTGGTTCAAACCCTTGCATGCGAGCTCGACTTTGCATTTGCCATTGGTACTCAGGTGCAGACCAAAGCGTCCATTCATTGTCCCAGTCGAGTGTCCCGTCCGAGTCAGTGTGCAAGAGCATCTGTGCGTTCTCACTCACCCTTACCCCTCTTCCTTCTTCCTCTGCCAAGTGTTTCTGACAGCCAGCCAGTCTTATACCTTTGTAAGCAATCTTGCTCATGTGAGCTGAAGATCAGAAGGGTTGGCTCATGCTAGGTGGTCAATCAAGAGCTCAAATATCCATCAATGTCTAACACTATGACCGGCAACTGGATTACGTAAAAAACGGTCACCGACGAGACACATGAAGCGAAACAGTCGAGTGCAGTAAAGCAAGGCACTGAGAGTGATTTAGGTAGTCTGAGAAGTCGGAAAGCTGTACCTCCATTTGTTCTCTGATAATGCGTGCTCCTTGCTTCAGAATCGCTGCTCTCTTTGCTTCTCTCTCGTCAAATTCCTTGATCTTCTTGAGGCGCTCGACCTCCATCATGGCATCAAGACGACGCTGCTCTGCTTTTCGCTCCTCTTTTATTATTTTCTGCATCACTCATCACAGCCCATCATTTGCAGACACCACTTTATAAGCAAGCATTCCTCCATCTGCCCAAATCTGAAAGAAAAGAGAGAAAATAAAAACGAAAACTCGGAAACACGAAAAAAAAGGCATCCCAGAATAGAACAGAGCCTTGACCTCCATAGTTTTCTTCTCTAAGTTCCTTTTTATTAAAAAAAAAAAAAAACAATGGAACACCATACGACACGACACGACACGACACGACACGACGCGACGCGATGCGGCATGACGCGAAGTGACGCGACGCGACGAAACGAAAACGAAACGAAACGAAACACAACACAACACAACCAAGCCCCAACCCAACACAACCCAGCCCCAACCCAACCCAACCCAACCCGACCCAACCCCAACCCAACCCAACCCCAACCCCACCCCACCCCACCCCACCCCACCCCAACTTGTCGCTTCCTCAGATCATGCTGCCTTATGCTCGGTGGGCAATCAAGAGCTCCTTTTTTTTCTTTTTCTTTTTTTTGAGCCAACTACGCCTGTAGGCTGTAGCCACAGATGAGTTCCAAATAGGCAAAAAGATCACTCATGCGCCAAATTCGAAAAGACAATAAAAGAGGCGCGGCATTTTCTAATGGCGCGCAGACAAACAAAGAACGATGAAGGGAAAGTAAGGGAGAGTATGGAGTGTGGAGTGAAGATGAAGGCAAAAGAGGATAAGAAAAGGCTCAAGAGTCAAGAATGAGTCTGTCCTTGACGACAGAGAGGACATACATTGTAAGGATGACGTGGATGAACACATGGAAGACCTAGCTGAGCATTCTCAGTGCAATAATTGCCACGATACCTCGTTTGTTGTCCTCTTCTCTCTCTCTGCCTACGGTTTACCGGGCAGTTCTGTTTGTGACGATATATATCGTATATCTATCTATATATATATATATATATGTCCTCTTCTCCCTCTCTGCCTACGGTTTACCGGGCAGTTCTATTTGACGATATATATATATATATATATACAGCCCGACGAAACAGTTTGTCACAGCCCCTCGTTTGTTGTCCTCTTCTCTCTCTCTGCCTACGGTTTACCGGGCAGTTCTATTTGTGACGATATATACTACGACTTCGCTAGCTTCCTGCTACGGTTTTTTCCGGTCAGGTCGAGCGGCAGTGGTCGGGGCCTTACTAGGCGGCCATGCTGTGCCTCTAGTGCCAGCGGTGTGTCTGGAGTGTATTTTTTGGCTGTGACAAACCTTTCTTTGTTTCGTGGATGTTTTGCTGGCTTGTGATGGGGTGTGAACCGACAGTCTGTAGAGTTTTCCATCTGGTGTGGGTGAGTGATAGTCTACTTTGATTTTG